CCTTTCTGCTGTCACTCAGGGAGCCTCCAGGGTGTGTGTCTGTCTGAGGGTCTGCAGGCTGGGATATCTCTCAGTTAGGTGTGTTTCTGTTTTTATGCATGTAGGTAGAAACATGTATCTGTGAGTATATTTTTGGTGGAGTGAGTCATAAAGGTCTAAAAATAGGTGTGCCTCTTGGTTTAATGACAGAGGTTCTGATGCCTTCATTTCCCCTCCGGATAAGAATTTGATTCTTGAACTTGTGATTCAGTCGAAATGAAGTACAGGTTCGTTCCCTTTAAAGTCTAAAAAAAAAAAAACTCACCCCGATGTCCTGTGATTGATGTCATTGTTGTGGGCCCTCTCTTTGCTGTTGTCAAACACAGAGAAGGAAAGTCACACTGATTACTGCAGCCTAACAGTCACTTTAACAGTCAGTCATAACTGCAAAGGAGCATAAACACAAGCCAAGGGATAAACAATCCTGTACGGAGAACATTTTGACACATCACGTTCTCTCTCTGGTATCACCTAAAGAGCAATGCAGATCGTTACCAAGGCCTGCTATCTAAAATGCAACAAATAAACAAAAATATGGAGTGCATAATGCATATTATTCACAATATGATGTTTTTCTGCTGTTATTAATGTTTAACACAATATGTTTAAAACATGATCCTCCGCTCTCCTGAACAAAAAAAAAAATCTAAATCCACTTTTTGCACTCATAAATAGGCACAAACTAATGTGAAGGCTACTTAAAATGGTGTGAAGCATGGACATTATATTCAGGCCTTCATCCAATGAGTAAGATGTACACATGCTGAGTGAGAATCACTGGACACTGTGAGTGAATGATAAATGGATGTGGTGTGTATGTGACTTCTGGTGTTCCTGGAGCGAGCCTCAAGCGGACCCTCGATGAACTGCAGGATTTTGCACTTGGCATTGGCTTCATTTTTCAACACCTGAGGTTACCGCTTGTATTCAACAGTATGCCAGTAGCAGCCATCGTTTATAGATCTGTAATTCGTAGCAGACCTCCTGTGATATAAGATAGGAGTTGTATGACATTTATAGTACTGTATGTTGGATCTGAGGCTGTATGGTGGACCTTCATGATACTGATGTCTTTGTCAGTAAAATCCAGTTTGAACTGGCTAGTATGTTGCATGGGTGTATCCTCTGTGCAGGCAGTCAGGCTCAAGAGTGTGCCTATGTTTAAAGCACTCTGCAGGACGTGTTCAAATTACCTACTGGAAAGTGCTTGAAGATGTGTTTGAAGATGTGCATGTGGGTGTCTATGAGTAGATCTCATTTGTGTCTAATCAGGTCAGCAGTCTGCAAATTACCATTGGTGTGTTTGTATTCTGTGTGTGCAGAGACTGCAGAGCTCATGTCTACTGAGAGAACTCAATTCAGCCGTCTATTTTTATCCAAACTTCGGTGCAGAGCGAGTGTAAAGATGAATAGCATCATAAAACTGTTATTGAAACTGAATTATCAACATGAGGCACAGATGAACAGACGCTTAATGTTTCAGAACCGACGTTACTGCTTATCCAAGCAGCCGGTCAGCACTCATAAATCACAGCTGAATTCATCCTCCACATTTACAACTATTTTAAAAAGTTGCTTTTATCATGCCACTAAAGTTTTACATGAACAGTGAGGGGCTCGGGTCACCCTTTGTTGGGTCCCTGTGTTGATGGTGTAGTTTCCAACCTGCAGCACCTGACGTTTGCCTATCAGAAAGTTGAAGATCCAACTGCTTTAGGTAAAGATTATCTTCAAGCTTTTAGACAAGTCTGCAGGTGTTAATTCCCACTCCTGATGACCTTCTTGTGGCGGGCCAGGCCAGGCGGACTGGGATACTAATTCATGCCGGGAGTTTGCGTCCATCCCATGGACATGAACCACTAACTGTGTTGGCTGACTATGTCCTTAGTTCTACATTCAGGAAGAAGATAGGCCTGCACACTTGCTCAAATGCAAATGCTGCAGAAGACCTCTGGTGTGATCAATTCAAACGTTTTGTGGCATTTTAGCAAGTGTGCGGGCCTATCTTCTTCTTAAGTCTGCTGATTTAGCACTGCCCTGCACATGCATGATGTGCATATAACTACCTCCTTTTTCTTAGTTCTACATTTCACATTTAGTTAAACCGATGGTACAACAGTGTAACACAAACTTTTATTCACCTGTCTCAAAATACCAATCTGTACCAAAAACCCCCACTGTAAAGCAGTTTGGACTCAAAACAAATGTTCTTTTACTCCAGCTATAGTCTCTCCACAGCTGTTTCAGAGAAACCAGTAAGTAATTACCAAGTTTTGACTGGTTGAAACACGCTGCCTTCAATGTTATATGGTCGCTCTGTTGCACTCATTAATATGATTTAATTCCTCCACAGAGAGACGTGCTCACTGTGTTGCCTAAGGACTGTTTTGTCACACTGTTATTAGTCTGGCTGCTTAGCTAGCCATGCTGGGTATGTGTAGACTAACCTGGTTATTTATATTTACCCTTACTGGTGAACTTGTCACTTATTTTGAATCATTTCGCTGTGACAAGGCCTTTTCTCTTTCTTGTTCTCTCCCTCTCTGCTCCACCTTCTTTTCCTGTCACATATGATGATGCGTGCATTCATAGAGGTCTAATCAGTCAAGCCAAATAGACGGAAGGCGGGAACAAATAAGGAGGTTCCTGTCTGAGAATCTGAAATATTTAAGGAATTTATTAAATATAAAGCTTTTTTTTTTTTACATTAAATCTATGACATCTCTTTGCTGCCTAAAGAGGGGAATAATGAGATCGTACTAAGTAACTCAGAGATTGTTGGTTGTCGTCTCAGAGATTTTTGGTTGTCATCTCCTGAAACTGGCACTCACCAGTTGAAGCATCAAATAGCACCAGTGCATGCTGGGTACAGACTACAGAGTGAATGTGATTGGCCTGCCACAGATCAGAAGCAGATGTCTTTCTACAATAGCACACTTTATATTTGGAGTTTAATTTGTGTGAGCAATTCACTTTTGGAAATACTGTCAGACCTCGCTGGACACCTCCATTGATTCTGCCACCGACATAAAAAAAAATCCAAAGCTGGTAGGCAAAGAGATTCCATTATGATAACTTACTATTGAGGAGAAAGTCATTTTATCAGGATGATCTGCGTAAAATCAAAAATTGATCTCCAGCCTCTGCATTCATAGCAGTGCTATCTCACTGAAGATGAGAGCTCGGCTAAGAAAAGTATTTGTATTTGTTTTGCAGAATGTGCTGAAAGAGGTTATCTAAGAGCAGCCAAAGTGAAGTCCAATCCATACAGATAGAGTCCAGCTTACAATGGCTGAGCTGCTTGATTTAGGCTTAACACTCAGTCATCCCTGCCTTAATGCTCCTCTGGGCCGTCTAGCGCATTAGTGCCACTGCATTAACACATCGATGCTCTTACCCAAGACCGGCAGGCCCAGTAGACTCCGTGCCATCCAACCATCCCTGCTGCACCACAATTATGTAGCCCGGATCCATAAGAGTTGATCCTTTGCACTAGCTGTGTTCAAAGTCGCTTTCAATCGTCAACATGACAGATAGTGAGCTTCATGCTCTGGAAGGCGGACCGAGCCAAACGATGAAGCTGAGGGACTGCAGCCACTCTCCCATTAAAATGATTCCACTGTCATGTCAGTGCTGTCTCCTGTTTCCCCCCACGGAGGGTTGGAAAAACAAGTGACTTTCTTTAATGATGCATGAAGCATTTGGACAAAGATTTCCATTGGCGGCCCCTTTACCTGAACTTCAACATTTTAAAGAGAATTCACAATCTTTAAACACACACACACCACACCACACCACACCACACATGAACAAGTCAATTCAACTCAACAGAAGGTTGATGTCATTTTCTAAAATTCAAGAAATTCAAGTATCCCTGCTTTAGACTGACCCCTATGAAGGCAACTGCTTGTGGGATAGTTCTCCCTCTCTTCCACCCTCTCAACAGACATTGCACAATTGTGTGTCAACAGGAATCAAAGTCTTTTGTGTGTCTGGCTCGGGGTTCTTCTTGTCTTCTGGTTCCCTGATGTCCTCTGCAAGGCCCTTTATGTAACCCTCTGTTGGTTATTATTTTGCAGTGACCTCCATCCATCCACAAAAGACGAACATTTCTATTCATGTTTGTTTCATCACTTTGGTTCAAAACAAGTGCTACTCTGAAGTTCAACCTTCAAACAAACCATAAGCAATGAATCATTTTATCACTGTCTGCTTTGAATTGACACTTTGTAAGGTAACTGTACAGATTAATAAAAGGTTCTGCTTGAGCTCAAGACGGTTTTTTGAAAATGAGTCTACTAATGCTTCAATGTGCCCTTTCATATAAAGTTGTTTTTTCCCAGCAGTTGCATTGGATTTTAGCTTTTGATCACGAGGAAATGTAATATGAGAGGCATACACTAAGCGCTCACACATTTTATGATTCTTCAGCCTTAGAAATTACAAACCACATTTGAACAGACCTTAAAATACGAAGTTATCCGACATAAGATGGGACCATTTTTTAAACAATTTTTTTTTTTAAAACACTTCAAATAGACTCATAACTGATAGAAGAAAAACTGTGATAAAAAAGTTTCTATAAATGATAGGAAAGCTTTGTAGAATCCATTAACTCTCATTGAAGGGGTTAAGGAGATTACCCTTCAAGCAATGTTGATAAGAACTACTTCAAAATGTTAGGGAATAACCTAGAATTTGGTGTGTGTGTGTTTTGAAATGTTTGTGCTGTTCTGCTTTTATCTCTTTATATAAGCTTCCTGAGCTCTTGTTGTACTCTGAGTGTGTCGACTGTACTGTCCCTGCATGATGCTGCACTCTGCAGAAGCCCCCTTGTCAGTCCAACTGTTGGTCCAAACTATGGATGGAACTCTTTTCCTATTTTTGCATTACTGTTGGATGGGGATGGGGGTGGGAATCTCCAGGAAACTGACAATGCGACTCTCTCTTGAATCTTTCAGGTCCTCGGTGGGCGTCATGGAACCTCGGAGTGTTCATGTGCATCCGCTGTGCGGGCATCCACCGCAACCTGGGGGTCCACATCTCCAGAGTCAAATCTGTCAATCTGGACCAGTGGACTCCTGAGCAGATACAGGTATACACACACACAGAGGGCCAAACACACACCTTCACAAATGCTTACACCAGCAGGGAAGTACGATAATAAATGCTTTAGTATTGTTTTTACATTACTTTACCTTTCCTACATTCCCGTGGATTCAGGCTGTAGACAGCAGAGTGTCTCTGTTTAATAGATGGTAGACGAGAGCAGGACGTTAAAGTTAGACTAGTGAACACTGGGAACAGGACAATAGTTTTTCACTTTTCAAAGTTAAATTTGATTATGCATTAGACTTACAGCCATATATTAGTTTGAAAAACCATGTCCAACTTAGACAACATCAAGCTAATAAATGTGGTGCATCAACACAGTGTCTCTTTAAAAAAGCAACAACAAGAGCAGGTCTTCTTACACATGGGGGTGGGGGGCCGGTTCGACTCAGTGTTCATCGTACTTATGGAATATAAAGTTACTGCGAAGAAAAGATGAGGGGTCAAAAAAAGCATCATTCAGTACTTGCTGTACTGCTGTGTACTCTCCCATGGACAATGGACAGTAGATTGTAGGGATGCATGCACACACACACACACACACACACACACACACACACACACACACACACACACACACACACGTGTTGATGGAATCCAGAGAAGTGTAATTCTTCTGTGTATGGATGTGTTTTGTGGGTAACTAGCATGTCACATTGATTCAATTACACACAATAAATCAGTAGAACTGTATTTGTGTGTGTGTGTGTATGTGTGTATGTGTGTATGTGTGGGAAACTCACCTGAGCATGCTAGTAATTTATTTAATCATTGAGTCTTTAATGCATCCAATTGTTCAGTGTGTGTGTGTGTGTCTCTTTGAGGCAGTGCAGAGCCATCAGCTGAGTGTGAGTAGAAAGGCTCTCACTCTGAATGTTAATCACTGTTTTCAATGACTAATTAATTCTGGATGGCTGATTATTCCGACTCCATCTCCCCCACTCCTGCTATCATCACCCCATTTATCACCCTCCTCTTAATTTAGCCCAGACACATACGGCCAGTGTGTCTATCACTCTGTGTGTGTGTGTGTGTGTGTGTGTGTGTGTGTGTGTGTGTGTGTGTGTGTGTGTGTGTGTGTGTGTGTGTGTGTGTGTGTGTGTGTGTGTGTGTGTGTGTGTGTGTGTGTGTGTGTGTGTGTGTGTGTGTGTGTGTGTGTGTGTGTGTGTGTGTGTGTGTGTGTGTAGGAGTCAGCCAGCAATTTGAGATGAATACAAATGTGATGTTTGAAAGAACTCACTGTGCGTGTCTGCATGTTCTCAGGCGTTTTATCAAATGCCTTTCTTGTATTGTATTTTTTTTAAAACTTTGGCCCTACTTTTAAATGTTTTCGCCTCTAAACATCTAATAGATGTGGACAGTTGACTGTTTTAACTGGCAGTCGCTGAGAAAGGTGTAACGGCTGCAACCTAATGTCCAGGACAAATGTTCCAAATCAAAGAACGTCCACTAAAGTCTGGCTCAGACTGCAGGAGTTTTTAACCTTCCTGATTTTGAATTTGAGTAGCATCACACACAATCCTAACAGATTTTATTCTCCATAATCTAAAACATGCTAACACTATAAAATATGAAAATCGTGGCACATCACAGAATACGGGATTATAGTGCCCGACGATGGAATGCACCACCTCACGTGACCACAAGTAAACAATAGAATAATCTTAAATCTGCGATTATAATGCTTTGTGCAGAGAGGAAAAAACACGGGTTGTATATTCTTCAGTGGGAACTGGAGCAGAGGTCAGATTGTAACTCTCAGATGCATTACAGTTGTCCTTCCCACCTGTACGTGTTGCATCTTGCCGCCGGTCGCCACTACTACACTTATTACTGTCCTCCTTCGTCTTTCTCGTGATATTACTCACACACGACTTCTGCCAGAGCCTTTCATGATGTAATCGTCAAGATTTTAAATGCTAAATATCAAAAATGTTTGAAATAAATCAGGGCTTCCCCAGGCAGATCGGGAACTTCCAAGATTGGATCTAATTGGTTCCGAGCAGCCTTGAGTCGGGAACGATTATCGGGAAGGAGGAATCGGACCTTAAATCGGCCCAATTATCCTGCAGTGTGAGCCTGGCTTAAGAGGGCTCGTTTCTGCAACTGAATTATTTTAAGTGTCTGAAAACATAGCAGAGAAGATCCCTTAAGATTAAAGTCTTTTTTTGTAACCATAAGCAGCAGTTATATTGCTCACCTTAAAGCTACAACACACTATTGACAGGAACTGTAACTTTATGTTGCTAAAACGAGTTGCTGGTCTACAGATTATTTGATTTGTTGGTCCCCAGATGCTTAGACTTGAAGATTCTTTTAGTCATTCTTTCACTTTCTGGTTAACCTGAGCTCCACCACAATGTTTGTACAACACACTTACACGCAAACAAACACCAGACAGAGGTTGTGGTAGACCACAACAAAGAGCTCGGTCTATCCTTGTAGAGATTCTTTCTTCTTTTATGTTGTCAGACACTTACAATAACAGCCTTGTCCTGTCAGAGGCAATAACAAGAACTTTAAGTGGGCTGACTGTCTGCTATGATCACATTCCAGCCGTAATGGTCCACTCTACAGCTGCCAGCTGATGCAATCTACTCAATTTATATTAAAAAAAGTGAGCAAGTGGCAACCTTGGATGTTGAAAGTATGAAGCAAATGTGGAGTTGGAAAAAAAAGAAAATGCAGTTCCTTGAGTGTCTGCTTAAGGCTGGCTCCAAAAGCCACAGAAGTTCCATTAACACCCCATATAGAAATGCCCAATAAAACAAGGATTTTTGAGCTTTTTCCTTTATTTAGACAGGACAGCGATAGAGTAGGGAACTTGGGGAGAGAGTGGGGAATGATGCAGGAAAGGAGCCACAGGTCAGACTAGAACCCGAGCTGCGGGCTTTGACGACTGTAACCTTCGTACATGGAGTCGTACCTAAGGGCCATCAGCACCTCTTAAAATGCCCATTTTGACAAAGGAAATAACAGGTTTACAGCCTGGAACAAAAGATGAATTTGGTCTGAATTGCACTTCCTTGTCTTTATTGGTACACACTGTATGGGTGGTGAATTTTTATAACACATCTGTTTATAATATTTTATTATATGGACAAGAGTTGTGCTTACATGTGCATAATTAGGTGCGGGCATCACTCACAGGGGAGCGCTTAGTAGCTGTTTGCGAGTAGGCTTAAGGTCGCCTTATTCAGGTCGTGGCGACCACTATTGTTGCGCTTCAAAACTGCACTTCAGAAACCAATGGGTGATGTCACTGAGACTACATCCATGTTTTATACAGTCTACAATTTAGACCCCAAAATATGAAGAAAAAAAATTGGACCATGGATTAAAAATACAAGATGGACTATTTAACACCACATTCTTGTTTCTCTCCCTTCTTTCTTGCAGAGTATGGTGGATATGGGAAACGGCAGGGCCCGTCAGCTGTATGAAGCCCACCTACCAGAAGGCGTCAAACGGCCACAGACGGACCAGTATCCTTCTTAAACATGCTCTCTGTGTGTTGGCCTCACACTGTCTATTTACTGTCCACGCCAGTCTTTCAAAGCCAAGATTTCTTTACGTAGAAGCTCTGTGTGTCACAGCACGTCACTACACATTGGTGTAAAAACTCCCTGTTCTTCACTGCTGGCATATAAAGTGCTTCTCACACTGCATGCACATTAGAACTACCTGTCAGGATACGTTTGGATGAAGCCCTTTGTTTCCATACATGCCAGTGTTGATTTACATAAAAGGTCCCTTCTTCCCCATATATGTCTACTTATGTTTACATGCACATTTAAAAGCTCCCAATGTCCCTTTAAGTTTTCATAAACATTGCTCACGTCCCCATTGGTATGTTACATGTAAATAGATAAATGACGGTAAAAAGCTACATGGATGATAGAAAAAAGCCCTCTCGATTGTCTTTTTTCATTTAGGATTAATACCATATCCTTATTTACTCTAGATATGAAAGTACGGACATATTTTACATTTGTGTAAAACTAACATTTCCCTATCAGAGAACAAGTTATTCCAACCAATTATCAACCGTGCAAATAAGCCAGCATGTCATTTATAAAAGTGTATAGAAAACAAAACAATCTGTCTTTCTTAATGGAGTGAATGTGGCTGCGAATCCAGTTAAATGTGGTTGTTGATACATTAATCTTCATCATCGTGATGCTGTTATTTAAAGCTACTGCTCCCACTTTTTAAAGGAAGAATGTGAGACTTTTTGATCCAGTCGCTCTTGAGCAGCAGCATGAAACAAAAAAAACCTGCTGTTTGGCCACACTTTTATGTCAGTCTTGGACTATGGTGATGTCATCTATAGGCATGCACCTGCCACAATGCTTAAACGTCTCGACTCTGTCTACCACTCTGTGTTAAGATTTATTACAGGTGACCCCTATGATACACATCATTGTATCTTGTACAGCAAGGTTGGATGGTCATCTCTAACAGAAAGACGTGATATGCATTAGCATCTTTTTATTTATAAAGCTCTCACAGAAAAACGTACCCTCATACCTGACAGAACTGATCCATCTCTCGACTGGGCATTACCAGACACGTTCCTCAAGACGTTTACTGTTGAATGTTCCTCGAGTCAGATCGGAACTGGAAAATCAGCTTTTTCTTATTCTGCACCGGACTCTTTGAACAACATACAGCATCTTTTTGAGGGAAATGAACTCTTACCTTTTGGGCATTTTAGAAACCTGATTTTAAGCCTCCCAACCTCTCTTTACTGTTTACATAAGTGTGTTTATTTATTGCAGTTTTGTACTCGCTTAATTGTCTTAGTACATTTTAGACTTTTTTATACTGATTTTATACAGTCTTGTATTTATCTGTCCCGTTTTTCTTTTTGATTTAATGTCTATTTTCTAATTATTTCTCTAATGACTCGATGTCATTGTAAATGATGATCTTTCGAGTATAAATAAAGGTTGAATTAAATTGGAAAAAATGGCTGACAGGATAATAATGATATATTAAAAAAGGAGTATACAGCCATAGAAATGCAGCGGAGGAGCCTATTACATGTAGGAATTGAACACAAGGCTGCAGAACACTCAACTTTATGATTACATGAATTGAGAATTTAATGCTGCATGTAACTGACATCTTCACTAATTAGATATCTGACTTAAACTTTGCAACAAGTCACTTTTTAAAAATAGGAGAATATTGGTAATTTAGTCAAATAACAAAATGCAGGTTGGCCTTTAAAAGAACTGAACAACTGGGTTAAAATCTGCATCATCAACCTCCACTCTGTCTATGCACAATACCAATCATTTCCCACATTAAAAAAGAATTGACAGGCTCTCCTCGTCAGCAGCACTCCCCAGGACACCTCCAGCAGTGTCTGTGTATACAGCGATGTTACAGCACTTCTTAGTTTGCCCTTTTCCAGCGTACACGACGAGACAGCTGTGTGGTAAACACAGCAGCATATGTTCCTGTTTCCACTAGCAGACTGAAATAAATACTCTCCCTGTTTGAAATGCTGCTCTAATACCCTATCTTGTATCTGGCAGGCCCATTTGTGCGGGTGGTCATCATACTTCACTCTTTTGAAGTCCATTAGTCGTTCTGACAGCAGCGCCGCTGGCTGAAAACAGTAGATAACAGACCCGGGATTAGAGGAGCGAGCGCCTGAATGTGTGTTAGGTTTTTTTTTTCCATGTGTTGTTCTGTGTTTATGGACACACACCACTTTGCCCCCCCGCTATTTACTCTGCTTATGTATTTAAATGACAGAATGGAGTGTGATTTCAAGGACATATTTGCCATCTTGTTTTAGACACATTAGTGTGTGTGTATTTATGATGTTTTTGTTTCAGTGTGGTACTCTCAGAGTTGTATTTGAAGTTGTAGACGGGGTTAAAAAACACATTCCTGAGTAGTATCTATCTTTCGCTCCATTGTCTTGTTTGGCCGTGGTTCTGTCACAGTGGCAGCATGCTGAGCAATGCATTTCAGACCATGCCTCCCAGTATCGTTTACCAGCTCTTCCAGGGGAATCCTGAGGCTTTCCCAGGCCAGATGAGTGCTGGATCCACCCAGGGTCTTCTCCAGTTTGGACATTCCCATAAATCATTCAAAGGAGAGTACCCAGGAGGCATCCTAATACAATGCCCCAAGCACCTAAACCAGTTTCTTTTTGGTAGGAAGGAGCAGCAATGCTCCGGGGGAACCGCCACTCTGCCGTGGAGGAGGGGTTTGCATGACTTCACAAACTTGGGAGCCGTGGTTTCGGTGCGGTCACCAACTGCACAAATTAGAAGCTCCGAGGAGGATTTATTCAACCTAAGAAGGGAAAGCCATATCTGGTAGAAGAGCTCATCAGTCAGCGTCTGATGGCTGAGGGTTGAACCGTGGGGCCAAGCTGCCCTGAAAGCCAACCAACTGTATCAATCATTATTGAGGCTGGGGGCTTTTTCAGTCAAGCAGAAGACAAATGTAGACAAAGAGCTGGCCTCAGGATGTGAGATGTCTTCCTAAATATATATATATATAAAAAGCTATACCAGATTTGTTTCAGAGTAGCCAAATCACACGTGTGTTCAGATCTTACGCTGTGGGGGAACTTCTATTCAGTCTTTCTTATAAGTGGGTTTCACAGGAAGTGGTGATGTTGTGGTGAGGAGGTCTGCAGACAGTAGAGATGCCTTTGCTAGATATACAAAGAAGACTCTCTTCCCTGGCATCAAACTACAGATATGTATCTGTGGTATTTCAGTAGATGCTGTAGCTAGCTGTTAAAGTCAGCTGTGAAAAAGCTATGGCATAGCTACAGTGACTGCTAGTCTGCTCCTAGCTACACAGATACCCATGAACCCACCTGATACAGGAGTTGTGTGATTCATGCCATTCTTATTGACTTACAGTACATTAGGTCTTTTCATGCATGAATACACGTTGAATCTTCTGTTTTGAAGCTGTTATGATTGTCTTTAATTTGATTTTTGCTCCCTCTGTGGACAAAATTGGTATATCTGATATTGTTGAAATATTGATCATTTGGGAAGCAGTTAAAGAAATACAAAAATAGTGTTCAACACTTGTTTTAATCAGCTGTTTGCAGGAGGAATAGGAACAATGTAAAGCATGTTTGTGGCTTTAAGGTAAATAAGGTGTTGCTTTCAGACCCTTCACCTTTTCGGTTGGTGGTGTCCTGAGAAGAGAAGTCCTGTTTATCCTTTGTCCTATTTATGATGGACACTTTTGTGGTCTATCACATTTTGCTCAACAGGTATGCTAATAGCCCAGAACACCTCACTTTAGATAAGCTCGTGTACAGCTTTAACCGACCTGTCCATGTAGGTTGCAGCTGCATTACTGTGATTGGTTGGATTCATATGAGATACGAAATGAAGTTAAAACAGAACCAGTCAAACAATTGATGCAAAACTTTAATTTAAAATGTTCTTTTTTAAGCCTTATGTTTGCATTAAGCCCAAGATAAAACCTGCAGGAGACGTCAAGAAAATTGTATCTGTTTGTGGTCATCGTTTTAAAATGATCACAAATCACAAATGTCTTTAGAAAACAAGTAGAAAGTCAGTACTAGAATAGCAGACTTTTCAAAATGTGTAGGATCCCTTTTTGTCTTTTTGTTTGTAATTGGAATTCTTTGTCAATCAGCAGAAACCAGTTCAGCTGTAAGGTATCTATCTGAACAGAGCTGGACATCATGTCAAAGGTCAGCCCTTTGTTCATATATCAGCCACTCTTGCTCCATGTGGTGCGTTTTGTTGTTCCTTCTTTGTCGTATCATCCGTCTTCATCTTTGTCGAGCTGTGCTGCATATCGTGGCATAGCAGCCACAACTGTTGCTAGTCAACAGCATTAAATAAGTGGTGTGTTTGACATGCAGCTCCAGCAGCCCGCTTCTTCCAGCCTATCTCTGCGTGTGCGTGTGGTCATCATTTTTCAGTCCCTAGAGATCTACAACTCAAACTGACAAAAGCGTCGCTGCTGAAAGGGGAAGATAAGTGAATCGGGATCTGTTGTGGCTGGGTGTAATGGTGGTGTGGGTTTGGGAGTGTTAGTGAGTTTTAGTTGGTGTGTGTCCATTAGGGTGTTTTGACAATAGCATCGTCTACATATTGTGTCATTCATCAGAGCACCAGATCAATATCACCATTTGAGAGCAACATTTATGAAACCTGATTTATACTCAGAGAAACTCAGGAATGTTTTCAGGAACATACGTAATATAAATGTATTTTTCACAGATGCTAATGGCACTTTGTGGCATTTAGATTTGTATTGCAGACATTGTATACATATATAGGTATCTGTAATTAGGATGATGCATTCAAAGACAAAAGGCTTCAGGGATTTGATTGAAATCCGCTTTCAGTTCAGCTTAATAGCTGTTGTGGATGTAGCATAAAGTTTCTTGAACAAGTTGTCAACAGGGGATTAATAACATGCTGTTATTTCTCTCTGCCTTTAAAATAACCTGATGTACCCAATGTCTCTATGTGCAGGATCAGTGTCTCCTTCATTGGTCACAAATCATTGTTACAGATAAGTTTCATTCATGATCTGTAATCGATGTGACTTATGGTCAGTCAGTTTAGATGCCCAATCTCTTCACATGCACATGTTTAACCTTGTTCAGTCAGATAATTGATAGTGATTTGATTGAATTTTTATTTTGAATATTTTTTTGTAATTAAAATCTGTCATCTATAAAACTCAAAAATGAGTTGAAAACAAAACAGGTGGGACGCAGATGGCCTAGCGGTTGACTGTAAATACACAAGAATAAAGGCTCAGTGACGTCACCCATTGGTTTCCGAAGGGGCTGGTTTAGAAGCCAATCCATGCCCATGGATTATTGGAAATGCTGACTCATCAAACATTGGGCTCTAAACACTAAAAATATTTTAACTTAGGTCTAACATTTTCAGACTATTTCTCTCTAACTTTGTTTATAGCTTTGTCCAAGAATTAGGAGGACATCCCCCTTCTCCACCTTTTCAAACAGTCCCCCTGTGGTCTAAATGAAACATCTGTGCTGTGCTTTGGTCAAAATATAACATGAATCAAGCACCAGAGGAGGTTTGTGACCCTGTAGAAACCAGCTCTCTCTGAACACTCCGTTTTGGTGTGTGTGTCTCTTTAAATGTAATGAGACATCACTCCGTTGCTAGTATGAATAAAAATAAGCTATAATGTTTTCTTCCACTTTTCCTGAGATCTGCAGAATGTCCTTCATTTCAGTAACTGTGCTGTCCACTTTGTGTGGCTCCATAATGTCAGTGTGGATATTTTTGTGCATTTTTTCAGTCCTTAACTCCAACCCTCAGAGCAGTGGAAGTCTTCATCCGTGACAAGTACGAGAGGAAAAAGTACTACGACAAGGAGGCCATGGCCACAGCTCCAGTGAGTAAAAACATCACTTCTTGTGTTTTCCATGTTGAGCTTTGGTTTGTCAGTTCATGTTACAACTGTGTACAGAGCTGCCATGGATTGAGGCCATTTCAGGAACTTGTGCATCAGTTGCTGCTTGTTGCATGAGTTTGATGTAAGGCTGTTAGATGACGCCAGTGTCTGCTAAACACACAGACCAACTTCAACGCAAAATGACAGCTTTTCTGTCCCTTCAGCTGAGTTCTGTTGTTGTTCAAAGTGTTTTTCTTAACGACAAAAAACAACAGCAACATCTGCAAACACAAGCTTTTCTTTTAGGAAACTGCATCTTAATGATCAAATATGAATGAATTGAATTCCCATCTCTTGTCTGTTTGGCAAGAAACCAAAAGTTAAAATGCATCGAAGAGTGTGTGCCTGGTTTTGGCTGCTGCTGTGTTAAAATTTGATGTGCTGCCTCTCATGTTTGGCATCTTTTACTCACACAACATATTTGAAAGAGTTCCATCACTTTTCTGTGCCAAGGCCTCATGCTTGGCTTCCAGTAACATTTTTCCCCACTCATCAAGCGTGTAAAGTTTGTATTTTTATAGTTGCTGACCTTCTTTGCTCTTTAATCCATCCCACTGGTGATGCTTTCTCACCTCAAATGCGTGAAAAGTCGGTGAAATCCCTTTTCAAACCGCGTATCACAGCGAACAACATCTGATACAAAGAGAGAAAGAGCGAGGGAATAACCTTTCAAACGTCAGGGCTATCTTCTAACACAGCTCTTTATCAGGAAGGAGAGATGTCTGTGTATGTGTTTGTGTGGTTAATAGAAGAGAAACGATGTGATTGTGTCGGTGTGTTTGTACAGTACGTGGTGTGGGTGCACATCTGCTTGTTTCCAGAGAGAGAAAATCTGTGTGAGGTGTGTTCGTGAGGGTTTCAGTGCGTGGGATGCTTCCACACTGCGAGTTATTCAAGGCAGGGTCGGTGCTCGTCAAGACATATGCTAACTAAGCTAAACTGTGTCTTTCTGTTTATGTTTTTTTTTGTGCCTAGCGTGCAACTTTACCAGAGTTTTTATGGCTGTCAGTTTAATTAGGAAATACTTAGCTGACTTCTTTCTTGCTGCTTCAAGTCCCTTCATCTTCATTTTTAAGATCCTGGTCATTTTAGGCATCACTTTCTGGCCTGGGATGCCCCAGGAGGAGCTGGAAAACATTGCTGGGGGGGCGAGGGAAGTGCGGGGCAACTTGCATAGCCTGCTGCCACCGCGACCAATCGTCATAAGTGGAAGGTTAATAGATAATGGATGGACCGTTTAAGTTTGACCGGCCTGTTAGTCCAACTGAGTAGGAAATCAGTTGCCCATGAAAATACCACTGTGGATTCTTGAAATAGTATTTGGAAATGAAGAGACACCTGCAAGCTAGTGCAGGGAGGGAGGGAGCTTGAGCTGCACTGATTTCTCACATGACACGCGTCGTTATCCACAATCACCTGACAAACACATCCTCCATACTGGCCGTCTATTTATGCTGCAGGATTTGCGGTCTGTCCCTCTACTCTGCCGGCTCTGCCATGGCAATTATTACTCAAACAGTTGTGCAAAGCTAAATGCTTCAAGTTTCGTGACCACTTAGATTAAAAAATGAACTTGTTAGAACTTGTTGGCCAAAGGTCTGAACCTCTGTCTCCACCACAGCTACACTGTCAATCTGTAGGAAACAAAGGTGGAAGTGAGCAGTAATGTGACTAGTGTGTGAAGGCAGTTGTTGGTTAATTATTGGTTGATATACGTAGATATAAAAGTTTAACAAAACATCCGCCCTTAAATGAGCACTTGGTCCTAATACTGTCAAATACAAACCATTGAATATAGAAGCGCTTCTAACTGCCAATAACTTCTGTCTTTACAGCCACCGGCTCAACTCAAGCCAGAAAACCTGCAAACTGAAAGGAATAAAGTTTAGCACAAGTGTTTAAAGAGACGTTTCTGGGGGATTCAATCACTCTTAAACATCATCATCACATAATGTAAATTCATGCAAAGTGTCTCGTTCACAGCAGTTGCTCTCTGCTGCTCATCTTTTCTGTTGTCTTCCTCTCATTGTCTCTGTTTTTGTTTCCCTTGTCCTCTTCTTCATCCTCTCCCTCAACTTGTCTTTTCTCTTCTCCTCCCGCCTCTCCCTCTGTTTTCTCTCCGTCTTCCTCTGAAGCGTTGCCAGCAGCCAGACTGTGATCTAGGATCTGTTTCTGCCGCCCACACAGACGGCTCTGCTTTTATATGCAAATTAATTATTAAAAACAACTCATTATCACTTTAAGCAGTTTCATGCAGATGGAGAAAGAAGACAAGAGGGCGGGCTGCAGTAACCCTGGGCTATAGTTATTTTTTATGTATGTATGTATGAATGTGTGTGTGTGTGTGTGTGTGTGTGTATGTGTGTTTGTGCTGGAATGAGAGTGGGGGATTTGCTTTGTTTGTTGAACACTTCTAGTAAAGAAACTCTTTGTGTCTCTGCAGGCCTCCTCGCTGTAGTTACATCATTGTACTGTACTCCTTTGGCAGTGTCTTCTATATTTGGTTGTTCGCTGAAAGGCGCACATGGTCAGTTTTCAAATGGTTATGTGATGGCTGCAGTATGATGCAACTGGAGTAAATGAATGCTGCATTTGTGGTCCAAACAAAAAAATAATATTCTGATTGACCAATAAAAAATGCTGAGTGATGCTAATAATGAAATATTTGTACTTTGTTCCACATGTTTTAAGATGATTGTACATCTTATGTTGGTGCTGGGCAGGAAAACAAACTGTAAAGCTTCTGCACAATAATATTTTTTTTATCAATCCATTTTGGATTGTGCTGGTTTGAAAAGTAAAAAAAAACATCACTCTACTCATGAAAGTCCAAATATTTCTTTCTTTTCTTTTTGCCCTCCTTGAACAGGCCAGCTTAGAGAGACTATAAATGTGGGGATAACTGGCACCAAATGGTCCCAGAATGAGCCTGAGATGGGCCCATCGAGGACTCTGCCTCTTAGTGATCCCGAGTTCACTAACAGATTTTTTTTCCAGGCAGCCCTCACAACCTACATTTTAGAGCACTTCTCACGTTCGCTTGCTGTTGCTAGGTTATGAAAGTTGTTTCACGGCACTTCTGCTTCCCTCGGGTAGTGACCGTCCGGTGTGTTTCAAATTGCTCCGTATGTTTTGTATTTGCTTTTATTCAAAGAACTTTAACAAAAGAAAATGTATAAACAATGTAAATGAATCTTGTCGTGGCTTTAGCAGCAGCTTGAGACCTAGAAATTGTACCATTGAAAAGACAGATTAGTTTCTCTTCGTCATTGTTGTTAACAAAGTATAAGAAGCCCAGAGAGCTGTGAGTGCAGCGACAGAAAAAAAAGCATACACTGAAGGTGGTTTGTGCTGAGGAGGCTGCACTGCATTGGTGTATAGAAAATGGGCGCCACCAGCCAAAAAAAAAAAAACCTGTTAGTGGACATTATAGTGGCTCTATATGTGGCGCCATGCTCGACCAACTGAGCTAAACGAGCGCCCCATAGAAATCTGATTTCTTCAACAGTTCTGCGGCTATACAGATACCCAAGAGTCCCTAAGATCAAAAAAGCTGTACAGCGTATTTATGCACACTGACAGCAAGTCCTGATGCATGTGAATTGAAGGGCTGGATTTTCTCTGCGTGCGTGCGTGCGTGCGTGCGTGCGTGCGTGCGTGCGTGCGTGCGTGCGTGCGTGCGTGCGTGCGAGAGAGTTTCCTGTGAGAAGTGTTTTTTTGTGGAGAGGACCTCTCGCAGAATCTAGTTGGCAGTGGAGTACAGCAGTATATATCCACTGCAGCATGAGCTCATTGCTCTGCCATGAGTAAACTAGTAGGTGAATGTGTGTGTGCCAGTATATGGACCATGCATTACTTCAATGTTAGTGGAATCAGCGAGACATCAGAGCACATCTTGCCGTTCCCCTGTGATGACCCAGTGATTGGCCTAAAAATGTCACATGCGAGCAGCCCAGTCAGCCTGGAGGAGGACTTTGTTTCATCCTTCTCAGCCTGTGTTAGTCATGGGGATGTCCTGTCTGCTGCGTCCACATTGCTCGCCAAATGTTCTGTGTGCTCTGGCAGCGTATTTAACTTCTGCCTTCCTTTGACATATCATATTCTCTGACGTCACAGTGGACTGCAGAGGAGCTCCAGGGAGAGTTTGTAATGTCACTTTTGATTTATCTTCAACAGGAAAACACAGATTTCACTGTCTCTTAATGCGAGTGAGGTAGATTACGTTATGGGGCACATGGACCATCAGCGATTTGACTTTTGCATCCTGAAGGTTGTAACTTTTAAGAGATGGGAGGGAGAGAGTTTGCAAACTAACCACTAGGCCACCGGCGCCCTGTTCCAAATCATTTTTATAGCGGAGGCAGGTGCTTCTAAAATTAATGGGCGGAGCAACTGTGATTAAGTTAGTAGTCGTCTGTTTGGCTGACAGTCAACGCTTGTGGAAAGCCCTGGTTCACAGTATCCAACAATGTTGTTATCAAATGTATTCAAATCTACAAGGTTCCTCGATAAATGGATGCATGTGGTACGGTTTACAGATTGGGATTTTTACTGCAAAAATGTCCCTGAAGAGTGCAAGGTCGTTAAATTAAATTTGTCCCTGTGTTCTTTTAAACACGACACAGTTAAATTACAGTTTTAACATCTCGAGCTGTCCCTGAGCTGCTATTCTTCTTCTTCCTTTATGATTCTCTGTGTAACTATTCCTGTCTACCTCAGTGTGTGTCGTCTGTGAGAGTATAAAAGAAGCTGTTGAAGGTCCACCCAGAGGACAAGATTCAGCTAAGATGTTAACCATCTCTGTCTCACTATCAGCAGTCACCAGAGCAGAAAGTCAGATACTTTTATTCTCCAAGTCCTAATGTCTATTCAACCTCCGTTCATCCTCTTTCACCCTGCTCATGCTTCTCTTCTTATCTATTCCTTTCTTTATTTCTCTG